AAGGTGCCGAAGTTGGGCGAGTTAAAATTCGAGTTAGAGGTTAGCTTTCTTTTTTCCCTTTTTTGTTTTAGAGATGAACAGATGACCAATATAATCAATATTTCTATGGAAATAATAAAATTCTGAATTTTAAATATTGTGATAGATTAAAAATTTTCCAAATTTTATTGTTTGAAATTTCTTGCCAGTTATATTCGTTGGAGTCACGCGCTTGTTATTATATTAATTATGTTATATTATATTGTTATTATATTAGATTAATTGTATTATATTATAATTAATTATATGTGCCATATATAGTTATTATATTAAATTATATCAATTATATATTTAAGAATGTTAGAAAAGAATTTCCATCTTATAGCATATCAAGACAAAAAAATAGCCGACACTGTACTTCATTTACAAGGACAAGCGGTTACTCAACGTGGACAGAAGTTCCAAACACCGGTAAATTTGAAATTTTTCAAAATTTAAGTTACTCATGTCGACTAACAGATGTATGTGAGTAATTTAAATTTTCCTGCTATTTATTTGCTACATAAAAAAACAAAAAATATTACTATCAAAATTGCTTTTTTAATGTGTGATCATTTTGAAATTTTCTATAATTATTTCTTTCTTATCCATAAAGAAATCAATCAATAATGATTTAATAAACATAGATATTTGCGGCTAAATTATCAGAAATATGGCAGTTTTATCTCATACTTTATTTTTCTCACCATGCCTAAGACCGTATGCTCTAGGGATTATTAATGTTTAGTATATTTAATATTACAAATTAAATGAGAAATTGAACAATCTAACGATAGCTTTCATATCAGGCAGTGGTTAATGATGAAAAAATTGAACGTGAAATTGAGGAGTTATATGGGAAAAAAGATGCTCCAATGTTTGAATTCGATGATCAGTTGACAGATCCCGATGAAGAGGATGACGAAGGCATCTAATTCGATTTTCCTTTTTAATATTGAAGCATATCGTCAATGCTAGAATTGTAATTGTCTATGTTTTTACTCATTTCTAAAATTTTCTTGAAATTTTTTCCACTTAGTATTATAGCTTTTAGAAAAGAAAGCAGAAGAAAATAAAGTAAAACGATTGCGTCAAAAGATTCATTCACCAAAAAAACCGCCACCTTCTCAACCGAAGAAAAAGGATGTTGGTACTTTTGACGGTGTTGGAGCAGAGTTGATTGAAACAATGAAAGGCAAAGTGGAGAAGGTTTCTGGAGAATTTGAAACAATGAAATCTCTGATCGAAGAACAGCAAAAAAAAATAGACGATAAATTAGAAAAAGCCCTATCCGATTTGCCATTTATGAAATTTGTGCTTATATTAATAATTATCCTATTTCTCCTTCATCTCTTATTTCTTCGAGATTAACTATATACTAATTAACAATGGCATAAATTCGCTATAACAATTTCAATAATGCATTTCATTTCAAACAAATCGGAGGGAAAAAATAGAGAAAGTCTAAATGAACTTTAAAAAATGGTTAATTTATAGCTTTCATATGTTAATTACATATGAATCATTCATAGCTAATTGAAATATTCTATCATTTCCACGTTGTAATCAATTTTTTCATATTTTTATATTTTTATGCCAATATTTGTCACTATCATTGAAAAAAATTCAACTCTTATGATGTACTTTATTATTACACACTAATTTTAAATATAAATGATAATAAGCGTCGGTTGCATAATTTTTTGTGTTTTGCTTAAAATATTAGATGAATTTTTGATACATTTTATAATAAATTAAATACTTGAAATAATGTGTTTCAATTTCCATAGGATGATTCAATTTGATATTGTTAATATTTCGCAGAAATGAAATGTGCAATTTTCTGTGATAAAATTTAAGAGGAAAAAGTAGTAAAAAATTAAATTATCTATAAATTTATTTAATTCGTCTATGCAAAAATAATGAACTGATACACATAGTATGCGCGGATAAACAAAGTAATCCAAAAATTATTGAAAATTGAATTTGAAATCAAATCAAAATTTGGCTAACAAAAAAAGTCTTTGTAATGAGAAAAAAGCTAACAAATATCCTTGAATGCATTTTACATTAGCATCATAATGTTCATATTTTGAAATCAAAGACATAAAATATTGATGACGGAGAGAGAAAAGGAATAGCGAATTAATTGCAACATGAAAAATGATTTTTCTTCGAAAAATCAATTCTCAACTTCAAAAGCTGAGATTTTAACTTTCAACTTTTGTATGTAATATTTTTGCATATTGCTTGTTTTCGTGCCTGTTGCTTTATAAATCTAGTTTTTAAAATATTTTCATAAGTTTGAATAATTTCAGCGAAAGAGTAAGGGGATATTTGAATCATAATCCTTCATATTTTATGATGTCCTGATCTCAGTGATGTACAGCGGTAAATATTCCCGTAAATATGGCCTGAACCTGTTTATCAGTGGTTACAGATATTTCCATCAATCAAAAAAACCCATGTAAATTACAATCTCTTTTTTAAATCAAATTTCAAAATCTGCCTGAATCAATAATTAGTAACAGTGATCATTTTGATTGTTCAAAAAGGACAATAATTTTTTTAAAAGAGATATTAATTGCAATCAAATTAGCTCCTTAAACAATCAAAGAAAAAAAACCACATATATATATATCAATTGTTGCTTCTCATCTATGAAAAAATAATTTGGCTAAATATAATGAACTTATTTTATTTGATTTTTCAGATGATTAAATCACAGTAAATGATGCAAAAGTTATAAATAATTTGCTAATCGAAAAATAATTATATTTTTGATAATTCCATATATCAAAAGTGGTTAAATAATTTCAATATGCAAATAAAATGAATGAATGAATTATTCATTGTAAGGACAGGACTGCGCTTATTCACCAACCGATTAAAATTTGGCGCATTTTAATGGTTATTAAGGAATTACATTTTTCAAACCAATGGACTGTGAAGTCAGCTTGCAAATAATCTCATTTTTTATTTTTTTGGCAATCCAAATAATCTTTGTGATAGTGCAATCAGTCACTTATCCCACGTGAATATTTCCAACGTAATGATACAATTGAACAGTAATATCGATATGATACTCGAGACACGTGAGCTTCGATCGCAATAGTATGCTGCGTGCAGCTGATCATTCGCTCGACGTTAACATCTCCAACATCATCATCAACTATTGCATACCTTAAAATCACCGTTTGTAATCGATCATTCATTCAAACTGAACATCCCCAACTTCATGATCAAATCAATGCCATTATCTAATTTACACTGATAATATAAAAGATATAATTGAAAAATAATTCTTAACTAGTTTATGAAGTAGTAGTCAGCATTTGATTCTCTATTTTTAATTATTGTGATATACAATGACAACAAAACAAATGTCGTTACAAATAATTCTGTAATTGTTAATTAGAATTGTCAAGGTAATAGCCTGATTGCCAATTGTCGAACTATATTGCGAATAGTTGAAAATTGGTTTGAATCGGGAGGGCTATAAACTGGAACAATCGAGTCTTCTGGTAAAGATTGTCACCTTGTGAGAGAGATTTCCTTTCGACGTTGTAAACCAAAAGAATTTTAAGGATTCTTTATTATCAACAAAGAATAATAGTGTAAATAATATAGCAGAATATTCGGTATCAGTTGGTGGAATGGCGAATAAAATTTACGGAACAGAACAGTAGGAAGGAAGCGAAGTGAAGCTGAGCTAAAATTCGCAAAAAGCGTGAAACTTCCAATTCATGATCACAGTGCCTTTAAAGGCTGAGTTAATGGGACGTGTTAGATTACAATTTGATTGGGGGTCAAGATTGCATGGAATAGATTTTTATAAAGAATTTGCAAGCAATACAAAATTAATTATTTGATTGGAATGATTAGATTAGGCTATTCGAAGAAAAAGGGAAATATTTAAAATAACAATCAGATATACAACAATGTTTATAATGGAAAAATGTTGCTTACTGGAAACATTGTAACGATTCATTTATTACAAGCGATGATTCATTAAAGAAATTTTCATGAACGTCGGCGAGCATTATTTTATTTATATGTTTATTTAGAGATTGATTTCTCTCAAGAGTTGTGGAGTTAGAATAAGATGAAAGAATTTAATGAAACTACAAAAATTTCGAGTTTGTATTCGACAAACTAAGAACTGCTACTTCAAAGATTATAGTAAAATTTTTATTACCATCACTTGAACTATCAAATAGAAAGCATATAATTACGCTTTTTTTGACTCAAAAAATGCCTAATTAATAGCTACTATTATTGATAATGATAATATAACAAAAAGCGAAACAAATCGAAATATTAATTAAATTCTCTGAATTCACTGTACAAAAGTTGAAAGACATTTGTACTCGTTAAAATATATCAATGCTTGATGAAAAATGATTAAACTGTCGATGGCGCGTTTGTTTGGCGATAATTGATTGCATCGTTTCGATATTATAATCAATCTTATCGTTTGCTCCCTTACATCGAATCCATCGCCAAAACCGTCGGAAATGTTCACTAGCTTGTTGTCGATAACTTCCCACAATTAAAACGAGAATTAAAGCAGAAAGGAATGGCATTAATAAGGCTAATCCATGTGCTATCTGAAATCCAATTAATTTTTTCCTCAATTTGTCAAATTCTTTCCTTTGTTTGATATGTTTATGATAATGAAGAAGAGGCAGATAAGAATAATGTGTCGACATGGTAAGAAATATATAATACAATCTAAATCTGACCAGTGATTTGAAAAAATTTAACAAGATAGAATTTTTTACTCTATGATACTTACATGCATGTACACATATAATCATGATAAATTTTGAATTTTAATCGAAGTTTTTGTAAAATCAATTTATAGATATGAAATATTTTACCATACCTTATACCAGTTCATCAAAAAAGCTCGTAAATAATAGTCATCATCAATATTACCAATAACAATAATAATATGAAAGTTTGCTTCGAAAAGTTCCACAGCTAACCCCCATTTTTCGAATACTTCCAAAAGAGTAATTATCAACAATGCAGCGGTTAATGATCGATTGCGCATCCAAAATGGTGATTTAATTTGATATTGACGTATTGTGACACATATCGTTAGCAGAAAAGATAATGGTGGCATCAGTATAAGAATTAATAAACTGAAAATGTAAAGAAATGGAAATTATATTTTGGATTAAAATTATGTGTTAATTTTAGTTTAAATAAGTAGTTAAAATTTAAAATAATTTTAATTGTCCACCAAATCTATCCTGTTTCAACACAATCATTCTATTGTGAATAAAAATATTTTCTAAATGATAGTTATTTGAAATTATAATTTCTTAAATATTAATTACAAAAAATAAGAAAAAAACGTGGAACTTACTAGATAACAATAGCAGAAATATTAGTAATTAATAACTGAAGGAATCGGATATCGATAAATAGTATGGAAACGATATAAGGTAATGATAAAAATACCATAGCAAAAATAAATGAATGGTGATTAGGATTATATTCAATAAATAGTGAAAAATATAAATTAGTTGCGAGATAAAATAGGAATAATACTTGGATGTTACCGAAATTATGCACCATTTGATATTTAAGTAATTCCTAAATGGTTAACATAACTGAAATTATTTAAAATAAAAAGATCAATTTAATTAATTAAATCATTTTGCTATAATTATGCTACAATGAATCATTTAATGTTTGGAAAAATTTAACAATCTTTTTTTTTGGCAAAACAGCAATTATACAAAAGAAGGATATTTGATTAACAGATGAATTAACCGCAATGTTTTTAAAATTTATTTGTGAAAGCTTTTCATTCGATAATATTCTGGTAATATTTAAATTTATCTGTATGATGTGCAATTTTAATTTAGATTAGCTTCACTTGGAAACGAAAATTAAAACAAAAAAGCTGCAAAATAAATAAAAACCTTTAAAATAGCAATATATGTCAGATCAGTTGCATTTTCCATATTGTTATCGACAATAATTTCTGCATGATAATAAATATCAATGATTAATGTATAAGATAGAAAACCGATTGCGAGAATAATATTGGAAATAGCAAAATTGATAATCAACAGCGGCAACCTACATTAATTTCTAGAGAGAGCAGAAATTAAATTTAACGAATCATCAATTCAAAATAAAATCCATATTTAACATTCATTGATGAATAACATTTCTATTTCTTTTCTTATAATTGTTTAATATCTAAAATTATTTAACTGATTAAGTAGAATTTTTAAGAACGCAATATTAGTAAAATGAAGTAATATTGAATAAATTAATCACAAATAGTCGAAAAAAGTAAGGTACGGGGAAAATAAATAGTAAAAACAATATCACTCAAGTTTTTTTATCTGCTGAAATTTAATTTTAAAACTAAATATTATCCCACAATAATTTCATACCTTTTGTATCTACGACAATCTACACATTTGATATTCAAACATAACAAATAGCTGTTTAATAGTATCGATGTAACATAAAGTAACAACAAGATGAGGCTAATTGAAAAACTAGCCTTATCTCGATATTCTCGATATTTAAATTCCGATGTCCTGAAGTTTGCAAATTTTGAAATAAGTATAATTTTTACATCTCATTTATAATTCAATGAACTTTAATAAATTTTTTAATTTAATAAATAAAAGATCAAAAAAGAAAACTCACTGATTATCGACTTGTTTGGACGGATGAAATACAACGTCAGGTATAAGAAAAATCAAATTATCATCGTTCATTTCTGCCACAAAAAATTGTTTTTCAATTTTTATGAAGAATTAAATATCAATAATTAATGTGAAAAATGAACAAATAATAAAATTTGACATTTTTTATTGGATATAGATTGAGAAAACTTCTTAATTAAAAAAATTTTTTTGATAAGCTTCAAATGTAAAGAATTTGAGTATAAGTATGAAATGGCAAGTAGAAAAAGATTGTTTATTTTTTGCATTGATATTTGAAAGTTCGACGATTTTTTCTACAAAATAAAATTGGAAGCAGAATTTGATTCTTTAAATTTCAAAAACAAAAATTTTTCATGTTAAACACAAGACAAAAAAACTTAAACAAAATTTCCAAACTTGCTAAAATTACGTAAAGTTCATATTGGAAAAAATATTGCGCAAAAGCTAGTTTAAAAGAAAAGTTATAGTGAAAAAGATACCTATCTAGCGTGTTAGGGTAAGCACAATGAATAAAAATGACCGATTTCGGTTTCGATCGATGCTAATTATGGATTTTGTTCAAAGCGGTTAATTTGGAAAAATGCCGAAAACTGGCAAATGTATGTTGAACTTGCTATATACCGCACGATAATTACCGGATGTGGTATTAACAATTATCGATGATACTATTTTAGATCACTGTTGGTTTTATAAACTAACAGGTAAAATATTAATGGTAGATAGGGTGCCAGAAATTATACACATACACATATGTACAAAAGTATGGGATATCGATTGATTGATAATGTCACTTTTTATTGACCATAATCATTTTGACGTATTTGAATTACGATGAATCAAAATTATTCTTATAATTTATAAAATTGCTTTAATATTTTGAATTATATTGCTAACAGTGTGCATCAATGAAAGAGGTAATCACAAATTTCATCAATAATAAATCGGACGTTGATAATAATAAATTCAAATAAATTTAAATCCGACTTCCGAAAAATCTTGGAAGTTGTCTGGGAACTTTTTATTACTTTCTAAAGTTTTGCATCTTACCTTAAAAAAGGAATATTGGATTAAAACTTTTCCTCTCTTTTTTTTCAACAAAATTGAGTCGTTACCAAAACTGAAAATTGCAAATATAAGTATATCTTCCATTTGTAAGTGAATAATTTACTTCTGAATGAATAATTCATTTATTTCATGTTGAGGAGTAAATTACATTTACGGTTTGTTAGACGGGAGAGATATGCCACACTGATATTTGATAGTTTGTGCAAAAATTATTTTTGTCATCAACAAAAATGAGATTTACACATAAAGTAGTTCACTGCGAAATATATGTATTCACAAATATTTTATTTTACAATGGCACAAAATTTAAAATAACTGGAATTTCAAAAACAATTCATTTAAACTTTTACGAATTATGCGGCATAGGGTTAGTAATAATGAAGACAATATTAATGATAACATAAATATCATTAATAAAGTTGAGAATGCAAAAAAAAAGCGAGGAATATATCAATTATATTGATTACTTTTAATTACCAAAAGTAAAAATAACAAAAATATGTAATGATTATTTGCTACTCACAAATCACTCGAGATTTGGTCAGAAGAACTTCGCCATGAAAATTTAATTTTTCCATGTCGTCAAAGAAATCAATAAAATCATTTCTTTTAAATAAGGTAGATATTCGAATATTATGTGATTTTATTATCTGTAAATGATTATTATTCTTTGAATTTTGTAAGGATCAGATGATTGATGTTTCTTAAGTATGACTATTATACTTTACTATAATCAATTAAATATGTTTATCGTATTAATTAAATACAATTATTATATCTTAAATTTGTGCAAGTTAATTATAAAATTAAATATGCACTAATGTAAACAGTGAAATGAAATTGAACAGAACAAATCTTGTCTAATAATAAAGCCAAGAAAGGTTAATTTTAGCCGGCTGTTACTAAAGGTCATAGGATGGCTTGATTTATGACCTTGACACTTCAGACCAATCATCACATACTGACAATATCTTGATACTGATAATAATTGTAATAATACAAGTGGCGTAAATTTACCCCCGAATGATTAAAAAAGATTGATGAGAAAGGATTAATAGTTTATAAAATTATTCATAATATACTACAAAAACAATTAAATTGTATAAATATAATTTAATGACTAGCTGTAATTTACAGAAATGTAATAAATAATTTTCCCTTCGATTTATTTTATGAAAAAACTCATTTTTTCAAACTTCTTAAACATTTTCTTAATATCTTTGTCCTTTTATACAAAAAACAAATTGTAAACAGAAACTTAAAATTAACGCACTGAATGATAATAATAAGCAATGAAAGTGTATATAATCAATCATTTTTTGTTATTAACAAGCAGAAATAAATAATTTTTTAACTTAATTAGGTGGAATCGATGCTTTTGCATTGTCCGCTTCATTATACTTTATGTATGACAAACAACAGTTGTAGAATAATTGTACGCAATTCACATAAATTACTCGAAATTTCAACGGCAGAAACCAAAAATTTATTAGTTGTGTGGGCGGCCAAACGTACATATCTAACTGAAACAAAATTGCATTTCTTAATTAAATGAAGCTAAATTTTAATACAGACCTTAATTATTGTTGTAAAGAAGAAAAGGTGTGAAAACGAGATATTTCTGATATTGTCAAATAAGGCAAAATATCATAAACAAATTTTTTTTATTTGATAGATTTAATAGAATT